CCACGGACCCAACCGCTCAGTGGCCCACGGGCCGAGGTCGACACTTTATTTCTTTCTGCCGTTATACAAAAATACAGGGGTGCCACGAGCCCGCAGTGGGCACCGCCCTTCTCACAGTACCAAAAAATATTGATATTCATAAATAAAACCTTGTTACATTCATAGTTTAACATGATACAAAAAAAGTTATCATAAAAATAGATATTTATATATTAAAAACATGTCCTTAAATATTTCTTCCCACTGCAGGGACGTATTAAATTAACCCCAAGATTCAATAAATATGATAACCACACAAATATTAACGTATAAATTAGTGGGGAGGGGGTGGGTGCCGCCACCCACCGTCACAGTGCAGTGGCCAGAGCCGAGCCCCTGCCCGACATAGGCAGGGCTGCGGTGGCACGGCCCGAGGGGCTCGGGGGCATGGGGGACACTGAGGGTACAGGGACGCTGAGCACAGAGGGAAGAGCATGGGGTCCCTGAGGACACAGGGATGCTGAGAGCACGGGGACACCAAGAGCATGGGGTCACCAAACACGCAAGGGTGAGCACAGGGACACTGCATAGGGACAAGCGCAGGGACACCAAGCACACGGGGACACCGAGAGCACAGGGACGAGGCACAGGGATGCTGAGGGCTTGGGGACGCTAAGAGTGCAGGGACGAGGACAGGGATGAGCACAGAGACATTGAGCTTGTGGGGACACTGAGCTTGTAGGGACACCAAGCACACAGGGATGCCGAGTGTGCAGGGACACCGAGTGTGCAGGGACACCGAGCTCACAGGATTCCGCTCCCAGACGCTCTCTGGGTTGAGCAAACCCAACGCTGGGCAGGCAGGGACGGACAAGCAGGGGGTGACAACGCTGGTGGCACACGCCGGTGCTGGCAGCACTCTCCATCAGCCGGGGCTGCACCCTGCCGGCAGCGCAGCGGGTGCTGGGCGAGCAGCTCTTAGTCAGGCTGGGTCACCAGACCCCTTGAATCACTGGAAAATCCGTCAGGGCTCAGTGACAAGGGACGGCTCCATCCCGCAGCGCTGGTCACCCGGGGGACACCCAAGCGTGCCCGAACACGCGGCTCCCCGCGGCACCGGGGCTGCCAAAACGTGGGGCAGGATGTGGGGGAGCTGCCAGGAGCGGTGCGGGGCTGTCCTGCGGCTGAGCAGTGGCACGGGGACAGCTTGGTCCTCATGGCAAGCCGAAGTGATGGGATCTGCTTCGAGCGCGCTTGCCTCTTCGAACGCGCGAGCTTAGAGCGTCTCCCTGCCGCTTCCCTGCACCGTCCCCACAACCCGGGAGGGGAGGAAGATGGAGAGGGGGACAGCTCCGGTGACGGTGAGGCTACACTAGGAGCGTGCGGACAACCGTGAGCCCCGGCGCGATCTCCGCTTCTCCCGGCGCGCTCGGCGGCTCCTGGCCTCCAGCTGGGCGCTGAGCTTGGCCATGAAGCGGGCGTAGCTCCAGAGGATCCGGCACCCCTCCAGCTTCTGCCGGAAGACCTTGGTGGGTGC